TTTTTTGGGGGGGGGGGTTTTTTTTTTTGGGGGGGGGGGGGAAAAACCGCGAAAAAAGGGGCCCCAGCCAGGCACATAGTTTTGTGGGACGAGTTACGAGGCGGAAGTTGCCCGGTTTGCAGGATGAAGGGGCGGCTTCACGGGGGCGGGCGCGGAGCACAAACTCCAGGCGGCGGGTGCACGCGCTTCGCCACCCCCGCCTGCAGCAGCGCGTCGTCGAAGGCGGGGTAGTCGAAGTCAGCAATCCCCGAAGACATGTGCAGCAGCTGACGCAGCGTGACGAGGCGAGCGCGCGGGCCAAAGAGGGCGGCGAGGGTGGTGTTGGCGCCGACTCTCCTCAGCGCCTTGTCCACCAGCGGCGCCGCCGCGTCGTCGAGGCCCACCCTCCCCGCCTCGACGGCTCGCATCACCCCGACGGCCGTGTACGGCTTGGTGCCAGAGCCAAAGAGGAAGATGTCGTCCTCGGTCACCTGGGGCGGGGCGGCGGGTGGGCCGAGGGGGCGCTAGGCCGGGCGGGGAGGAGGGCGGCAGCGCGGGCGCGGGCAAAGGCGGCTCGGTGCACCTTGCGCCCCTTCCACTCGCCCGCCACGAGCGTGAAGTTTTCGCTGGCAGACACCCACGAGAGCGAGATGGCGACGCCGCGCAGCTTGCTCTGCAGCCGGATGAATGACTCCAGCCGCTCGCGCAGGTTGGATACGCTCGGCTCCGTGTCGTACCAGCCGCCGAGCCACCACGCCGCAGTCTCGGCGGCGGCTGCAGCCTGTTCGACCACGTTGAAGTAGTACGATTCGTTACTGGTGGCCGCGACTGCCGCCGGCTCCGCCGCAGCCGCGACACCGCTTCTCTCGCCCACCGCGCCCAGGTCGTTGATCCAATTTTGCTCCCGCTGACCCCCAAAATTTGCACCCAGTTCGTCGACCCAATTGCTGCTGCCCCCGCCCGCGCCCCGTGGCTCAGCCACATCGGTGACGCCCAGAGCCATCGAGAGCCAATCGAGATGACGCGGAGCGGCGCGCGAGGTGGCAGCCAGGCCGAGTGCGGCGCACGCGCATGCACCCAGAGCGAGCAGCGCTCGGCGGTGGCCGCGCCGGCGAGAAGGCACGTCGACCGTGATCATCGTGCGGGGTCTCGGGGTCCGTGTGCCGTGCGAACGCACCTTGGTCCGAACCTCCTTTCCACGCAAAAGACAGTGGCCAGGGGCGGGGCTTGCATTTTTGCCGTCGCCAGTCGCCCTACTCTTAGAGAGAGAAATGAGCAAGAGTGCCTTAGTCCCCCGGCCGAGCAAAAGGATGTCGCAAACCGGAAGCTCCGACGGAGTTCCTTCTATTACGCGTACCATGCTACGACCGCGTAGGAGCCGGAGACGGGCCGCCCGCGCAGCTGCGCCGCCACCTGCCGGCGCCTCAGTTCGTACACGACGAGCCTTTTATGCGGATCGGCGTCAGGGTCTCGGCGCGGGAGCCGAACCTGAAAGTGGATGTCCCGTTTCTGGTCCGCCTTGGCGACCGACTCGCCGTCGAAACGGTGGCAGATCGGACAGCGCCAGTCGAAGGCTCCCTCCACCACTGCTCCCCTGCCCGCGGGCAGCACGCACTCGACGCAGCGCGTCTCCGCGACCGGGTGGCCGGACCTCTTGGCGAGCCGGCACTGCCGGCAGCCGTACCTGCCTTTGCGGCAGGTCTTGCAGTGGATGTGCACGCCCTTGTTCAAGGTGGCGAGCGAGGCGTGCGTGAGAATGTCGCCCAGCTTCGCCTCGGGCTGCGAGTGGATGGCCTACGCGATGCCGACAGCGGCGGGGTGAGGTGGCGCGGCGAAAGGATCGCGGAAATGCGGCGGAGGCGGACCTTTCTGCTGGCGAGAAGCAGCCCCTTGATTTGCTTGAAGGAGTGCAGCGCGAGCAGCTCGGGCGCGAGCTCCGCGTGGTACTGCGAGTCGAGGAC